AAACTTCACAAAAAAAAAAAAAAAAAAAAAAAAAAAAAAAAAAAAAAAAAAAACTCAAGATTTACTACTTTTAATCAGGCATTATATTAGCTAGAGAAAATTTTGATAAATTCACGTACCCCGTCTTGAGTAGTCCTTGGAGACGTGTTTGTAGAGCCGGGAATGGGCCGAGCGAAAACGGCGGTCGCGGAGGAGAATAAAAAGAAGAAAAGGAAGAGAAACGTGAAGATGGAGGTCAAAAGCTTTGAAGCCATTGAGAGAGATGGAAAGAGGAGGGACTGTGGAGATGAATATAAAGACATTGTGAAGGGCATTTTTGGCACTTCATGGCAAGTGTAGCCATCATGGATTTTAGTAACATAAAATATCAACAATTCTTTTTTTTTTTTTTTTTTTTCTAATTATATGATTCATTATTAACTTTTAAAGAATATTTGTATATTTAATATATCAAAAGTGGAGAAATTAAAATAATATTTTTATATAAAGGTGAATATAAATTTATAGAAGGACAATTTAAAAGTAAATATACGACGCGTTTGTCAACGGCTATTCTCGTGAGAAAAGTGTCGGGCCATACTTGGTTGTACAAGTTCACATGCCACAATCGATGTGTCGTCCCAATCTTGTCTATTCTAAGTTTTTCGTTTTTTCTTTGTTTAAGGGCTGTTTTACATAATTAGGACTATGTCTCTCACCCACCAATTATTATCATTAATATAATTACTTCCATTGGAGAAAACATGGGGTTTTTAAGCATATATTTGATTAATTAAATTTGCTTTGATTTATTAATTTAACATAAATTTGATAAGTGTGTAAAAAAAAATATAGAGATTTTAAATATAGTTGGAGATTTTAATATATGGTTTAGAAAATATTTTATTAATATATTATTCTTATTTTCGGTGGGGAGGGAATATATTATATAACAAGGTACATTTGTGGGAAACAAAACTAAGAAAGCATAATGATAATGATGACAATTAAGCATGCCTCTTGTAGGCATCCAAAAATTGCAAAACATAATGGGAGGCTTCAATGATATGCTTATATGGGTAGGTCCTCAAATATGATTTCGATTTCCCTAATAATACTAAAGGTCAGCTTTGGAGGCCAAGCCTCCCGTCTTTAAAATAAGGTAAACATTGACTTAATTGATTGAACTATGTTTATGTCAAAAGAATTTTATAAACGGTCTAGCCATGCTACTTTATTATCTCTCTATCAGCTGAAATTCGCGGAAGGGGTGCACTTGTGGGCTCATTCTAAATTTTTCAAAACATCTAAAGTAACATTCTAACTACTCAATCAACAGCCAGGTCAAAAAATTTCAAGGATTCATGTTTCTTGATAAATCGTATGAGAGAGAAGGCTATGAAGCAATAGTTCTATTGTTTTTATGACAATATAATGTGGGCAAAGAAGAGAGAAAAAGTAGAAGCAATATGAGACACCAAGGGAGAGATGAAAGGAGAATCATATATGGTCAACTCTATGATATTTGCCTCTTCACCAATGTTTAAAAGTCAGCTGTTCATACTTCATCCATCCTTTTCCCCCCTTGATCTTCACGGGCTTCTCTTCTTTTTCACATAATAGTTGCAACACAAGATTTGGTGGCCAACCGTTCTAAAAGATCGAGAGGTTTAATTCTATTTTTTTAAGTTAGATGTGTGGAGTGAAGGATTCAAACCTCTGACCTCTTCGTTAAATATATATATATATAACCTTCAATTAAGCTATACTCGGGTTTGCTAGAAAAAAAGACCAGAGCATATGGTTCTTTGTAATGCAACCAATGGTGCTGCTAGAATTACTAGGACTCTTTTTGGGTACAGCCACAAATAGTTTTACTCAACTAAGGAGATCTGAAGAGGAAATTCAAGATTGAAAGAATAGGTCAAGTATAATTTCTGTAGACTCTCGAGCAACTATGTTTGTGAGAAAGGGTAGAGCCGAGAAGAAAGGAAGGAAACAAGTCTCTGCAAACACCCGACCAACTATGCTTGTGGTGAGCAAGGGTAGAGCTGAGAAGAAAGGAGCGAAGCAAACCGACCAACTATGTTTGCGGTGAGCATGGGTAGGGCCGAGAAGAAAGGAGGGAAGCAACCTGACAACCTATGTTTGTGGTGAGCAAGGGAAGAACCGAGAAGAAAGGAGGGAAGCAACCTGACAACCTATAGTTTGTGGTGAGCAAGGGTAGAACCAAGAAGAGAGGAGGGAAGCAACCCGACCAACTATGGTTTGTGGTGAGCAAGGGTAGAGCCCAGAAGAAAGGAAGGAAGCAACCCGACCAACTATGTTCGTGGTGAGCAAGGGTAGAGCTGAGAGGAAAGGAGGGAAGCAACTCGACCATGTTTGTCGTGAGCAAGGGTAGAGCTGAGAGGATGTTTGTGGTGAGCAAGGGCAGACAATAAAGGACGGAAGCAATTTTCTTCTTAAGTTCGTCTGAAGTGTACCATCCTGCTCTAGTCCCCAACTTCAAAGTTATAGCTTTCTCTTCAATTCAATACAAAGGGTCTACTATCTTAAAATGAAAATCCAGGCATAAAATACGTTTGTGACCAACAGAGACAGCTTATTGACAATAAATTAGTGTATACACAAAGCCAAAAAAGGATTTAAACATCATCAAATATTTTAGGTTAATAAAAATCCCACTAATAGTTAATATAGGAGTAAAAAAACTACCTACTTGCCCCGTCGTCACCACATTCCCCGTCTTCAAGCTCCTCGTGGTCAAAATTCTTAGACGAACCATTTCGATGTTCTCTCTTGTGCCTTCTATGTCTGCTTTCACCATCCGAGTCATGAGCAGATGCATGCTATAAAATCAAATGCGAGGCCACAACACCACGAATAAGGAGGCATAGAATTAAACGACATTGGTATTAAGAGAGAAACAAGTATACTGTGATGGGAAAGAAAAAGGAACGTACCCGCCTAGATTTCTTCCGGTCTTTATGCGATTGGGATTTCTTCGATCGATCATGACCTGCTTCATCTTCGTCTGAATATTCCTCATCGCTATACCGTCTCTTTCTTTGTTTCTTACTACGTTCTTTCCCCAGTCTCCTGTTCTCTTTCGATTCAAGGGTATCCGAACCATCAGCATTTTCATTGTCTACTCCATCTTTCTTCGAGTTCTCCTCCTTTTCCCTTTCCTTTTCTCTTTCGCTTTTTCTGTGTTTCTCCTTCCTTCTATCTCTTTCCTCCTTGTCTTTTTCCTTTCTTGCCTATCAAATTGGTGAAGAAATTCATAAGATCGACATCATATTAAATGATATCATGCATGTGGGCACGGCGAAAAGTTGAGTGTTGATGGTCAATTTCACACGCCTCAGGATAAAACATAACAAGCATAAACATGAAGTTCTGGGCAAATTATCATATACTTCACTGCTTATATTTTCAATAACTAATAGACAACAAAATTCATACCTTTTCCTCCTTTCGCTTAGTGTCGTTTTCTTTTGCATGTTCTTTCAGTTGTGCAATGTACTCCTCAAATATTTCCTTACAGAAGCTCTCGTCCTCGATCGAACTAAAAAAAATTAAATTCAATCACAAGTCGTCCTCCTTTCGCTTAGTGTTGTTTTTGTTTGAGAGGTCTAAGCTTTAAAACAAACTATATGATATGAAATAACATGTTGACAACAAGGAATACCTGTACTCTTGGCTTCCTTCAAAAAGGAGTTTGCTGTCTTCCCAATTTGAATATACAGATATTTCCTACAACAATGCAAAAAAAAAAAAAAAAGACCAACTCATTTACTCGGTTAATCTTATGTAACTAAGGTACAAACTGGCATTGAAGTAACAAACCTTAAACGAACATAAAAGACTAAAAAAATCATCTCCAAGACGTTTACGCTTCTTAGCTTCTTTCTCCTCCTTCTCCCTGGCCCGTTCGAGCAATTCATCAAAAATTAGCTGCAAACCAAGTCATTGCATGATTAAAAGAGGAGCACATGAGAAAGAACATGTGAACGATATAGAAAGTACTTCAAGTCATTAATAAATTTTTATGAGTATAAGATGAGGGTATCTAATACAAAGAATTTATCACGTAAAAGATCAAATACAAGCTTATATAAGCATTGAGGTCTCTTCTAATTATCAGCGAATGCATCTCTAATTCAATACAAGGACAGTCTATACTATAGATACTAGATATCCAACATGTATCACCGTATTATAAACAAACATTCATAGAAAGAGAAGGCTCCTCCAGCCACCTGTATGACATTGAGAACAGATCACCTTACAAGATCAGAATCCCAACCTGAGACACCTAGACCATCACTAAAGGCCAATCACTTATTCAACCAAACAAGCTACGTGAAAAGCACTCAAGACTATCACTCAGACCACATTCATAAAAAGGCTAGATCTTTTGTAGGTTGCTAGACTCCATCAAGAACAAGAAAGAGTAGGCCTGAAAAAGTACCTTTAAGTTGCTGTCTGATATTGGAGGATTGCTGATATCTTTTGAAATGGCAGCTTTAAAGTCGTCAAGTGTCCATGACAATGACATTACAATCTGATGGTCCCAAGAGATTGAGATTAGGTATACAAGCTACCAGTGATGGACAAGGAAAAAAAAAAAAGCTTATGCAGACCGATAATACCTTTCTCAGCTTCAAAGCATCTTTTATTCTCGTTTTATCATCACGATACTGCAAAAATACCGGCCCCAAAAAAAAAATATCAAATCAGCCTCAATAGAACAGCATTTCATCAATGCGGAAGTGGAGGCAGGAAAGTTATATCACGAGTACAGTGACCCGGAAAGACTTGCAATAACCACAAAAGTAAAATCATCAGAAAAGTATAGAGATGTATTTAGGCATGGGGTCGCAGATAATACAGCTAAAAATAGAAATTAGTACAGGGAGATTTCATGAGGAAAACACCCTACTTTACAAGATCAGTAATGGAACATAGCATTTCAAACATAAGGATAATTGTAATTCTAACTTTCAAACGTCTTAGTCAGGAGCCAAAGAATTGAGATGAAAGATAAGAATGCACAATTAACTCCCTTCAAAGTATTTGGACACACCCCTTGTGAGTGCACTCGAGACTAACTTTCAACAAATTAACTACTCCTATCGCAATCACCTTAACCAAATCAATATAAGCGTCAAGAAATCACAACATTTTTAATGAGAATGTCTGTCAGGTAATCAAGAAGAGATCAAGAGATATAGAGGATTAACTTGTTTTTGGATCTCGTCTGCAACATCTTCAAACAAATTCTTTGGAGTTGAACCAGATGTATTTGCAGCAACTGCCAAATATGCAGGCAACTCTTTAACCTGAGACGAAGAGGGAAGTGGTGAGAGGTGCGTATCTTCAGCAGACAGAATCAAGATATCGTGGGGCAAGGAACTCAATTAAGAAATGGAATAAGGAAAATGTCGACTGCCAACCTTCATGCAGTAGTCACGCCAATGAATTTTAGGTGTAAGAATCCCCGCAGCAATGTGTTCTTCCATCATCTTGCGGAACTCATCACGGTTTTTACGTTCTGCTTTTCTCAGTTCTTCCTGTTGTTCTCAAAATCTCAGAAAAAATACCTTATTTGAAGGAAAAGAAAAATATAAAACAATATAGCAAACAGACGTACCTTCTGTATTTTTCTCTGCTCCTCCTCTTCCTTCTCTAAATCACGTAGGTATTCCTGTAATATACTTCCATAAGAGCTCTGCTCACAATATAAAACAGGAAAAGTACAATATAATGTTTTTGTGTCTTCTCTTAAGGGTGAGGAATCCACTTTCCCAAGGCCATTAGACTGTTCCTCCTTTTCTCATTAAAATAACGAGTTTGTTTCTCATTAAAAAAACAAGAAATAAATAAACAAACAAACAAGCATTAGTACAATTATTAGAATGCGAAAAGTTACCTGAAAAATTTCCAAGCGATCAATTTTTTCAAGGCGTGCACATCTTTCATCAACCACTAAGCGGTCTTGTACTTTACGCCACTGGCTACTAGCCTTAGAGGAATACCATAGCATAACACTTCAATTGAGTTTGTACAACAAAGTAGTACAATAATAAATTATAGATTGTTAGACGGTGCAAAAAAAAAAGCTAAAAGAGTACCTTAATGAAGTCACAAGATTCCAAAAATGTTCTATATTCCAGAATGTTCCGACTACGCTCCTCCTGTGCTTTTGCACGCTCCTATTCAACAACAATCATCATATTAATGAAAATGAAAAATTGTTGATTAAAAAAGAGGGGGAGAGAGAGGGAGACGTTGTCCACAACACAGCTTTTGTTCATCAACTCAACCGAGAAATTAGGTTTACTAAAAGCATAAAATCAGGTAGAGGAAAGGGAAAGGGAAGAGTGGATAGTCTAGCTATCGGATTTCAGGGCAAGAAAGTGCCTATTTAGCCTACTTACTGCTTGACCTACTTACTTAACACATGCCAACATGCATGTCGACATTGTTTTAGGAGCTAGGTAATAGGTAAAGTGTGAGATTCCATATCGATGGGAGAGGAAAACGAAACATTCGTTATAAATGTATGATACTTCTCCCTAGCAGAAGCGTTTTAAAACCGTGAGGCTGACGGCGATGTGTTATTGGTCAAAGTGGACAATATCTGCTAGCGGTGGGCTTGAGTTGTTACAAATGGAACCAGGGCCGGAACCCTTAGTTGGCACCAAATTATGTTAGGCTTCTAGCTAAGAAGTGGTTAGTGCTAAATACGAGCAGCAACACTGGATGATGTACCAAACATATTTCAAGCCATAGAAAGTTAATCAATCCAATCACCATTTTGGAATGAATTTTACTCAAGATCTTTATACAGCTACATGCACGTGCAAATTGACGTGTTTAATCCATTTCCCTCAACAAGTTTTTTATTGAAAGAAGAAAAGGAGACTTTCATAGAGAAAATTAAAGGATATTCAACGGGCATACAAAAAGCCAGGCCACAACAAATGGGGCTAAAATAAATAGAGGCAAAGCTGACCAATGGACTTATCCATAGAAGGAAAAACGTGGTAGAAAAGGTAGAAAGTGGGAGGCAGGCACACAGATGCATACCTTATTCTTGAGTTCCTCCAAGTAGCCGTCAAAGAGATCACGTCGGTCCCTATCTCTTTCAATTGCTAGGAAGCGTTCATCATTTTCAAATATTGATTCGGCTTTGCTGTTCATTAAAGTTTTCATAACCCAACACAAATCACAAGGAAAACAAACGACCCATGATAACAAAGCTGAAAATAAAAAAGGAACATAAATGGTAGAAGACCAACCTCCATCTCATAGATGAAGTCACCTCAGTTGACTCCTGCATGGAATCATACATAGGTAAGAGATACGAAAATTGTGCATTAATAGGGTCAAACAAGCTTCGAGAGGAGAAACATACTTCCAGCATCTTTCTGAATTCTTCCCGCGCTTTTTTCTGTTTAATTCGTCTTTCCTCTACTTCCTGTTTTTTTCTTTGACCAAGGAACTATGACATACAACAAAGCACAGATTACTTCTTAAACAATCACTACTACCAGCATCATAGGAGAATCTTTCAGAAATTTCACAGCATTACAAGATTGACTGATTAAATAGACAAAACCTAGTTACAAAACGGGACTAGAGCGAAACGGTTGACCCATGCCATACCTCATTGAAAGCGTGCTTCCGTTCTCCAAGTGTTTTCAGAGCACCATATCGTTTGTCATTAATTATAATTCTCATGGCCTGACATATTAAAATAAAAATTATAGATAGGAGCTTAAAAACCAGCAGAAACTAGGACACATTTAGTTCAATTACCCGATCCCACGTCCAGTCAGAGCCAACATTGGCAGACTCCAGGAGAGCTTTAAATGCATTTTTTGCTTCCTACATAAAAGATAAGTAATCAAAAAGACACAGTTAAGCTGAAAGTGGGGAAAAAAGACAATATAGGTTAGGAAGAATCGTTACCTGCTTATTTGGATACGCAGAGGTGTCCTGATCAATAGCCCTCTCTTCCATTGTAAATTCAACTTTCTCCTCCGATATATCTTTCTTCGTTTCCTTGATAATGATAAAGAACAATCAATAATGGGTGGGAAAAAAGAAATAAATCCAATCATAATAAGAACTAAAAAGAATGAAATGCTACCTCAAGATCTTGGGCAGAAACGCCATCTATCAAACTATCAGTATCCTGAGCAGAAGACTGGTTCAAATCATTCCTGCATAATTTATACATTTAATAAATCTTCATTTGCATAGAAAGTAAAAAAATTCAATAGAAAGGTCCAATCAAGCTAATATTGCATAGTTTATTGTTTATGTTCTTTTTTTTTTCATAACAATGTTGATGGTGTTGATGGTATCTTTCAGGTATGCCTAAGTATTTAAAGTTGGATTCTTTCATAATTTTTTATCTTCCAAACAACTAAAAAAAATCAACAATCGTGTAACTCAATTTTACGACACTCATTCATTGTGGCTCACTACCTTGAAGATTTTTATCATGGCCTTTTGTAAGTTTCCCTTCAGCCCTCTAATTCCATGCTTCATTCAATTTTTGTACATCCTACTACTACAAAGAAATACATGCTTCTTACTATTTTCTTTAAAAGCACTTTTCAAAAGCTTCATGGTATATGGTTAGTTAAAAATACTATGAAGTGTTAACAAAAGAAGCACTTTAAGCGTTCATAGGAGAAAATGCTGCAAACAGAGACACTGCCATCAAAAGTCACCTAAACTCACCCTACATACCAACCAAAACAAAGTGCTCAGTTATATAACTGCCAATACCTGGGTTCTACAGTAGTATCCTCCACAGCACCAGCAGCACTGTCATTCTCTGAGATAGCGCAACTAGAAGGAATGATATTGACGGGTGACTGAACTCCATTTGTTTCTACACTTGAAACAGCAGCAGGAGAGGTGTCCTTGTCATTTTGTAAATCGATAGCTGCTACTGACGAAGTGCTAGATGCTAGTCCTTTGGCAGTTGACATTGTATCAGCAGTAGTAGATGGTGCTTCCAGGGAAGAAACAGAAGGGAGTTCGAGAGGAACAGGTTCCTTCTCTGTTCCTAGAGTAGATGCCTTCTCTGCTCTCTCTCGAGCCAACTTCATGTATTCAATGCACCAAAACAAATGGGGAACAATTAATTAAACCGAAAGATTAAAAGTTGAAAAGCTACAAGTATGTTTAGTCAAGAAAGATGTTAAACGAACCTTCAGTTCCTCGGGAATCACCCACTTAGATTCCTTGGTGACCTTGTTATAATAATATCTGTACCACATTCACATATTAAATAAGGTTAATGATTCAAATATTCATTCAAGATGCAAAAGCCTTGCCGTCAACTAGATTTGTTGAATTAGATTGTTTACTTCCTTCCTTCAGGACTTGTGAACTCCTTCCAGTTGGTTGATGCGTCTGCCCTCTGTCACAAAAATGAGAGTGTAGGTCAAGATATTCACCCACAGAATAAAAGTTGAGAAAGGAAGTAATATTTGAAAAAAGCACCGTAAAAACTGAATGGGATTCAGCAAAAGAAAGTCATAAATTAGTAGGGGCCAAAACTACAGTAAGCCCAAACATCATCTAAGTCACTAGATTTATCTTCAAGAAAAAAATAATTAATTAATTAATTTCTAACAACCCAAATCTACCAAAAGTAAATCCTTGACGGTATTTCACCAGAGAACTTTATCTGTTCCCTCAAAACTCTGTAGAATAAAGCTTCCTAGCTGGTATGCACGAAGCAGAAATGCAAATGAAAATCTATCAGCAAGGAAGGAGAGAGAGAGAGAGAGAGAGAGAGAGAAGGTGCTTTTGACCTTTCCATGGAACTCTTACACATAATACACCAACTTGGAAAGCACAAAAATACACCAACTTGGAAAGCACAAAACCATAGGATATATCTATACTCTATCTACGTGAGTAACGGCACCTAAAGCCAAGGACCAAAGAGAAAACATGGGAGTTGTCTGATTCTGAAGACTAAAAATTGAGATAAAATCATTCAAAAAGAAGGAAGAAGCTGAAAGCAGGAAGATAAGGTATTTCCGACTGTAGGAACCTGATTTTTTTTTTTTTTTTTCAATTTTGATATCTTTGGTAGTGGTAAAAGGCATTTCCGATTTAGCTCTTGGTCATAGGTCTCCTCCCTTCCACCTCAAGGTTGTTTCACTCTCTTTTTTCAATATATTTTCCCTCTGTTTCTTATTTAAAAAAACAATAAAAAAAGGTGATATGTGAAACTAAAAGTATGACTTCAATAATCTTTGGCTTTAATAGAAATAATATTTAGGGTTTAGAGAAGGGTACTCTTCAATAATATTTAATGTTTAGGGTTTTGGCTATAGGTTTAACGACTCCCTTAGGGACCCAGTTACTAAGAATTTTTGTGGTTAATTTTATCTCTCATTCTTCGGAACTAGAGTTCTTTTTTCGTAAATGTGTATTTTGCTAGCTTCATCTCTATAGGAAAGTTGGTTTTCTTTCATTTAAAAAAAGAAAATAACTAATATATCTAGAGAGGGGTACGTTCAGAAAAGCAGGCTTATTAAGTGAATGAGAGAGATTCGATAAAAGTTCAAGTCACTCTATCTTTGTTGGACCCGCATATTAACCACATCATGCTTTCCTCGGTTCTACTCTCCAAGTACCAATTTTGCTGATCCTTGTTCTACCAACCAGTCTACATATATACTGAACAAATCAATACCAACAATAAATTTCTGAACTTCAATGCCATGTGAACATGTTAACATGGATTGTAATGAGGTCGTCCAACTTTCATCGCCATTTGAGCAAACTAAAGATGTAGTGACCTTAGTAAAACATCAATTTGCCTGGTCTTTGGGCACCTATGATTGGGGTCCGTGTCCTTTTAGGCTCGAGAACATATGACTTAAACACCGCTCTTTTCAAGGAGTCTATCTCAATGGTGGTCCAAAAATGTGGATGGAAGATGGGATGTTTTAAATTTCATGAGAAAACTAGATTCCCTTAGGTTTGTGTGGAAGCGGTGAAATAAGAATGCAAAGGCTTGAAACTTGTATAATGCACCAACTTTATATCAGGCAGAGTTATAGGTTCTACCTCAGAAGAAGGGTATCTGGAGGCAGATGCTGAAGTGAATGGGTTCAGAAAGGTAATTAGAATTCAATACACTTCCACACGTTTGCAAAACCAGTTCGGGCTAACATATTTAAGGATTTTCGTAATTGTCAGTTAGGTAACATTCTTTTGGATTGGATGCTGTTTCTATAATTTGTTAAGGTCCTGCTGGGATGTTTTTTGGACGCTTGAATACATTTCTTTTCATTTTTCTCAATAAAAGTTCGGTTTCTTGTCATTGATGATTATCGCAGAACATTCTGCAACAAATTCATTAGTCGACAAAGCCTCTACTTAAACCATTCTGGAATGATAAAACGTGGCAGTTCAGGCACCAAATCTATCGTTCAAACCTAATAACCATCCATATCATACTGACAGTTAGACCCATTACAACCAGAATTCTGATAACTACCAACTGTACGGAAAGGATTGTCAAATGCTCCTCTGGAACATAAAAGAAAATTGGAACAAATCAAAAACCATGCAAGGGAAAAATCAACATTTCATGGGATTATATCAAGTGCAAAACAGACCAATTCGTAACAAAAAAGACATTATATTCCTACTTAGACCACTTATATTCCATTTCGCATCAGCTAATCTGATCTGCAAAATAGAACTAGACACCAGTAATAGAGTTTGAAATCTGACAGATAACTCATTGATTTGAAAGGGAAAAAAATGTAAGTCCAACTGAAACAAAGATGGGTTCAGCATCAGCAAATGCCAAAGTCATTTGAATATCCTTGTGGAGTTATAATAATTATATGTATACATATCCTACAAATGTAAACATAATAACCATAACAATGTTGAAGAAACATTCAACAGTATAAATGGACAAGGCTTGTTATACTACAGATCAAAGAAATAACACAAATAACAGAAATTTACTGACATTCAAGAAAGATAGGGAGAGCAAGCAGCAAAGACTGACAGCTTATCCTACCTCTCAACAGAGTAGCACAGCATGTACCTGTAAGCATCTTTAAAGCTACCGAAGTTACACAACTCATTTACAGAAAGCAGCACGGAAAATAAGTAGCAAAGATATTATACTTCAACAAAGAAAGGTTACAACATATGACAGATACCAGTATATCTCAAGACACCACTCTTAGACAACTAATTAACAATCCTATTCAAATTTCTAACAATGAGAAAGAAGACAGGGAATTTCATCGAGATCATTTCTTAATAACAAACTGAATTTCTTAGACGATAGCTTTTATTCTCCTTGCATGCAGAAGAAATTTGGTAAACCCATTTTAACTAGGAATTAAGGAACAAAAAAACAAGATTCTGTCAGTTAATGCAAGGCACGTGCCAATCAAAAATCAAGATAGGAAAGAAAGAAAAAAGGTAAAAGAACACAGGAATAAATTCCAATTAACTAGTACCATCGTTGCAAATGGAATAACATGCCTGGAGTAAGAACATCATGATTTTAGAAGAAATCTTATCGACTGTAAGAAAATGCAAAACCAGATAATTAAAAGCTACAAGCATTGAGGAACTATGAAAGATAGCAAAGTCTGTCGTTTAACTCACCTCTACTGGAGTCATCAATTCAAAAGGCTTTTCCCAACTAGATATTTTGGTCTTCTTGTTGTAATAATATCTAAAAAATGAAAAACAGAAGTTGGCATTATAAAAATGAAAAATGCAACCGGTAAATAGTAAAAAACGATTGTCATCGATCATCTTGTGCGAAAACTTCAAAGTTCGAGCATAATATTAGAAAAATGAGAAGTGACTTCACACCCAGGTTATTTATTACACTGTAAACGCTCGATCCAAAATTCTTGGCAATTGCATGAGGGGTCTTTATAGTGTAATAAATAACCTGGGCGTGAAGTCCAAGAAATATAAGAGTACAAGTAACCAAAATAGAACATAAGGATATGTTTCAACTGGGGAATACCTTCTACCGTCAGCAGATGTATGCTCTCTCCATTCTGATGAGGCTGCACCAGAGGGCATCGTTTGAACATTGGCTGCCTGAAATTAACGAAAAGGCAAATGCAAGGTAAATTTACTGAACCAGTAAAAGACAATAATAGGAGAGTAGATTAAAGAGAATAAAAAATGGTACATACTGAAGCTATAGAGGAGGTAGCATAAGGCTGTTCTCTTGCGCGATTCAGAGGTGTGACTGAAACCGAACTGCCCAGCTGAGCTCCAGAAGATACAATTGGTGCTTGTGAATGGGGTGGAGGATGAATGGTAGGGGTATTGTAATTTTGAGGTGGTCCATACTGCACAGAAAAAAATTCCAAGTGAATTAAAGGATGTAAAAGAAGATATCAATGGATATATTGTTGCAGATTCAAGAAAATTATTGAAAATGACAATGTTCCATAAAGAGTTGGAGAATTTTTTTTGGAATTCAAAACAATTGAATCTTATAGCCAAATATTCATTTTATCGTTAAGCACATCTTCTCCGTGTACTACAAAGAACAAATAAAAGTTCTCCAGTAATTGATGAAACTTACATTGTATGGTGCTGATAAAGATGTTCCAGAGCCACCTGGACCAGGCACGCCAATAGCAGCAGGTTGAGTGAGAGGCTGTGCTTGTTGCAATTCAGGGGTAAAATTCCTATTTGGCTGAGCAATTGGCAGTGGAATTGTTTGTGGTGGTAATGACCCATGAACTGGCTCGCAGGGTCTTGGTGGTAGGTGAGCCACTGGCTGAGAAAATTGGGGTTGTTGGGCTAGAGGAGGAGGGGGCATTCCAACATTCATCATGGGAACACCTTGGCCAAGGGGCTGAAAATGGGAAGAGGGCAAGGGAACAAACTGCTGCGAGTGAGGTGCTGGGACTGCTGGTCGAAACTGCTGAAATAAATAATTGAGTTACATCAATTCCTTGAGATTGACCCAAGATATAAAATCCTCATCAGCCATAAGTGCTTATTACCTGATTAGTCATTTGGGGAACAAAGGCTCTAGCTTGATCCATAGGACCAACAACAGGAGGCCGAAGGGGCTTCAGAAGTATAAAACATGCAATTAGAAAATAGAATTTGAAACAAAATGAAAAATATCCAGTTTCAAAATTGATAGAATAAAAAGAAACTAGATTACAAAGCGAACATAGATTTCGAGGTATTTACCTGTAAACCTGAATATTGAGGATTATTGGCCATTCTCTGACTGAGATGAAAAGTCTAGAATAACTGCAAAACTAAAAATAAGTTTTTTCCATGGATAAGGAATTGTTTTCATTAAGAGGAATAAAGAAGATTACAAAAACAAAAACACGGACCAGGGAGAACAAGGGAGTCTCTAGAATAAATTATGAGAAGCTCCAACTATTACGAATCATAAACAGTCCAATATTGTTAAAAAAAAATTCAGGATGAAAAAACAAGATCAAGGCATAATAAAGTCTATCAGTCTCAAAGATTCTTCTTAATATCCCTCAACCTGAAAACTTCTCCCAAATTCATCTCAAGACAGCCAAAACGCCCTATAACAGGAACATAACCTTTTTAACAAAAGGCACCTTAAAAACCTACGAAAATCTCCACCATGTCTTTACGAAAATATTGTCAAAAAATATGTTTAAGATTCTCGTATCTTTGTTGATTAGTAGAAAGTAGTACTTTACAGCCTAATATCCGAAGTAAATACAAAAAACCAATCAAACGTATTTCCAAAGTAGGCTTAGGAATTCATACCAATTACAATCAATTACAGAGGAATATAGTTTCTAAACTCACTTTATAAAGAGAAACATGGAGGAAAAAAAAATAGATAACTCAAATACTTCCCTCCAACCGTTTGCAAGCCCATTCAATATTTTGCTGTTCCTTCCCCACCAAAAACACCAAAGAATGATTCACGGCACAATTAAGCATTTTTGCTTTCCTCTTGAGCAGGTGAACTCAAATTGTATGAAACACTACACAGTTTCATCCGATGTATATCAAAAGTTGTAGGACATACCAAAGATTTGTAGAAGAGGACGCCATTGCAACTTACTGAAAGATAATGAGAATACAGATTATCCAAACCTTCACCTCCTAAGCAAATTTCCTCAGTAAAATCGGAAGCGAAACATCTTCCAACCAAAGTTTTATGTAAGAACAGGGTATTGACAGTAAAGAAGCCTGAAGGATAAAGAACCCAAGTCCTCTCATCACAGTCTCCCCAAGCTGAATCTTTCCCAGCAGCTTCAAAAGACCAATAAACTCTCAAGGAGAAACACTAACTCATGGCTCGTTTTTTTTTTTTTTTTTTGGTACTATAAACAATTTTTCCTGCACTCTACTCACATTCTTGTTTTATTTTGGTACAAAGTTTCAAATTTCACCAAAATAAATAAAAATGACATTAATTACTTCCTAAGTGTAATGAACTACCTAATCCAAGTATGACAAAAATTTAGTCACGTTAGCTCTTACTCACCTACGCCACTCGTCCTATTCTGTTACCAGAAAACAACAAAAATTCATGTTTCTTTGCAGGTTTTTCTTTTCAATTGCAGTATTGAGAACTTGCTTCTTATGTTATGCTCGTGGCTCACCTGACCAATCTCCAACAAGACTTCGCCAACCCTATAACTCCCGGAAGCTTTGCCAACCCAACTAACTCTCAGAACCTTTGCCCATCTCGAGGCTAGATTTAAGAGAAAAAATGATCTGGCTTGCTTTTTAAGAGAGACGAAGCTTTCACTGATAAAGATGAATGAATGAACGTAAAAGAAAAACAGGCCCAACAAAAGGATTCATCACAAGGCACAAGCTAGCCAATCAAAGAGGGATCTAATCCAAAAGAATAAAACTTCACGGATAATTACACAAAACCTAAGAGACTAAAATCTTTGAGGCATTGGATCTAGCAAAAGACTAACCCTCTTCCAAATACCACTCAACCATACATGACAATGTGGTTTAAGGTTATGAAGTTTCCAGTTAGGGAAGAACCCATGACCCTGGAATGCAACATCCAAGAGGCATACCTAAGTACCTACCATACCAGCACCAAAGCACCCTTGACTATTTCCTTTTAAAATCACGAAACCCACAAATTCCAAGAGAAAAAAAAAAAATCTGGCTCCTATATAAACAGTTACACTACCAATTACACTTGTTTTCCCAACTGCACGCCCAGGGCTGGAAAAAACTAAGAATCACGAAAACAGAAATCAAGTAACCCAGACGAAAAAAAAAAACAAAGTACAAATCATGCCCTAATGTTACTCCTCAATCCATCGAACAGTAATGCAGCCAAACCACGAAGAGACGAGGATGTAAACTCGACCATAGAAGTGAAGAATCAATAGAAGAACAAGGATTTAACAAGCAAAGACAAAATTACCCAGTCGATTGAGAGCAGCAATGAGGAGTGATGTGTCGCGATGAATGAAAATTGAAGAACGCGGGCGAAGTAATGGGAACGGAAAAACTCCGGGCAAGGAATTTGGTGGCACAGGCGGAGCTGAATGAGAGTCGAGTTTCCTGAAATGAAGTGCTCGCGGCAGCTGCCCAGCTGCTGGGCTGCTATGGAAATTGGAAGCTGGAGGCGCCCTGTTGAAAACCTTTATTCTATTTTTAGGAAGGGGGGTTTCCGGTGGGGCTGGGGAATGGAAGCCCGAGAAACCTACGTATATTTCTCTTCATTTTTTCAATATAAAAATACACGTGTCAGTTTTTTTTTCTTTTTTCTTTTTTCGTTTTTTTAAGGTAAAAATAGCATAATTTAGATCAAAATCAAAATATAAAAGGTTGAAATATTTACCAACAAAAAAAAATTATAACGAACAAATATATATATATATATATATATACGTACACTTTGGATTAAGTTTTAATTATACTTAGTATATAACTTAATTTATTGCTTCAAACTTTAATGTTTAAATTATTTAAATTTGTCTTCTTATCATATAAATTTAACATCGTGACGAGCTATACTTTAAAAATGGAATTACGAGAAACAAAATGACATCATTTAAGTGAAATAATATTGCTATATTATGCCCGAATGTTGACATGTTTAAGAGGATTTAATCATTTTGAAAATGGTGGATGATATTGTCTGCGCTCACTGTTAGTAGATATTATTCATTTTAGTTCGTTACATATTGTTGTCAACCTCACCGTTTTTAAAATCATGTCTATTGGGATAGGGTTCCTTTCTCCAACTGGTATGAGATCTTACTTCCAACTTCGTTTGATAGCCAACATTTTGTTGGCACATCGATCGAAACTTGACTTTGATATAATTTGTAACAGTATAGAGTTTGTCGCCAGTAGATATTTTTCACTTTTACCCGTTACATATCGTTGTCAGCCTCACGATTTAAAAAAACGTGCATACTAGAGAGAGGTTTCCACATATTTATTAACAATGTTTCGTTAATCTCTAAAACTAAGGTGGAATCTAACGGTAAGTATTTTTCGACATTTTCAATTAACAAAAAATAGTATTATCAAATAAATCCAAAACAACCAAATCTTCTCGAATTATTCCCTAATCTTCCATAAATATGAGTATGTGGGTCTCGAAGAACAATTTACGGGCAGATCACTCCACTTTATTACTCTCATCATAAAAAGATGAAATTCAATCAATTGCACAATATTTTAGAAATATTTTTTTTTGAATGTGTACTCGTATTGCTTTTATAACATACCGTAGTTGTTAACTCGTACGTTCACATCTTAAAATTTGGTTACTTTTCTCGATAATTTATGACATGATTTTATTTTTTACCCGTTTCTCCCATATAATAAAGTTTAAAATGGGTCAATTAAATGAGTTTTTTTCTTTTTTTTAGATATGGAATGATATTTAAACATAATATTGCTGAAAAAAAAAAACATCAGCCAATCAAGTCAATCCCAACCATCCAAACTAGATAAAATCAAAGTCAATTATTTGATTTTTGGATCAATTATTTTATTAACACTGCCACTTGGCAGCTTTCGGGAAGTTAATAATATTTTCGTCTTCGAGGACACGTGGCAACCATTTGACGCCGGTCATATTGTTTTCACACGTGGTCAAAATCCAGTCCATCCCATAATTTTCATTAAAAGGAAACATGTTTATTTATTTATTATTTTTCAAGGGGCTCTCAAATACAAAATTGTTTATAATAGATTTATTCAACATTTTTTAAATATTTAATCTTTACTAATTTAAAAATTAATTTATTTTCGAAGTCTTAAACTAAAAAACAAAATATTAAATATTTATATTATTTGTTTAAAGTATTATATATTTGTGACATTTATCGTAATAACTTTATTTTTATTAAATTTCAAGGAAGGGACCATTGACTAATTTTAAAATCACGTATCTATATTTTAATATATTTATTTAAAATACCAATTTTTTTATAATAAAGTCCGTCTAAAATATAATATTATTATCTTAAAATCACAAATTTATAGATATTTTTTTAGTTATTAATAAAAAGTACTTAAAAATAAGTTCAAAGTTCAAAAAAATAAAAAATAATAATAATTAAAAAAGTTAGATAGAGATATTTTTATTAATTAAATTGTAGTATTCTTATCTACTTCAGAATTTCAATTTAAATATTAGTCTAAAATATTTGTATACATAATTTATCTTTAAAAAATAAAAATATTTTTATTAAAAGATATTAAAATTAGATTAAAAAATAGAAAATAAATTGTAAATTAAGAAAGTAGGGACTTATAAGAGAGTGAGCTGAGTTATTAACTCCCACTAAGCACTGTTTACATCGTTAATCAGAGATTAACATCGACTCGGATAAACAGCAAAACAGCTCGAAGAAATTCGCCGGTGAAAAATCTACAAATTTCATTTCAGCCGCACAAATTTTAGTCTCATGTCCCACAGATTTCATATGAATCATCGTGTTCTCCATTCTTCTCCAAGATTCCAGGCCCGTCTTCTAGTACTTCTCCGATCTTTTTATTTTCCTCCGTTACTCCATGGATTTCTCCATCCCCAACCTCGAACTTGAAACTTTCGATTTCGAACCAGTTCTCATATGGCCGCTCTCTCAATCGCTTCAAATTCATGGCTCATCAGTCACAAGGAATGGCCCTATCGAAGCCGCTCAATCGCCAAGCCTTATAGTAAGAGTCCACTAGGGCGTAAAAGTGAGGGATGTTTCCTCACAATTTCCAGACCGATTGCAAGAAATCGTGTAAGATTCTCCGCCAGAGATGATTCGGAAAGTGAGCCGTCGTCGTCGTCTTCGGTCGCGGTGGTTTCCGATGAGCGGGAGGGCGGAAACGACAGCGAGAAGGCAGAAGTGTCTCCTGGAGGAGATGAGATTGAAGAGAAGGAGAAACAGCAGGAAATGGATTGGAAGACGGACGAGGAATTCAAGAAATTCATGGGAAATCCTTCGATCGAAGCTGCTATAAAGCTGGAGAAGAAGAGGGCGGATCGGAAGCTGAAGGAGCTTGATCGTGAAGGCGCTGATAATCCGATTGTAGGACTGTTCGCTAGAATTGCACGCGAAAATTTGGCAAAAGAGAAAGAGAGATTAGAGAAGGCTGAAGAGACTTTCAAGGCTCTTGATCTTAACAAGGTATGCATCTTTTTCTCTCCATTTTTTATGCGAAATATATGAAGGTAGTTGCCAAATGTTAAAGTATCATATTGAAATAAAATACTACAAAAATAATTGTAATACTAAAGAACAAAAATTACAAAAAGTATCATACACTAAATTTTCCATATATATTTTGTTACAGACGAATTAGTTTCTTATGTAGAGTTGCTTTTTTAATGGAGTTCAAACCATTACAATTACAAATGTGTGTTTATTTGGTCCCTAAACTATAAAAAAATGTCGAACAAATTTTCATGGTACGAACGGAACCTTTCAATTATGAACAACAGACATTAACGAACTTCTTTAATCTGGCAGTTAAAGGGTTGCTTTGGATTCAACACATTTTTTGCAACGGATGTACGTAGATTTGGAGATGGAGGTATTTTCATAGGGAACTTGAGGAGACCCATTGAAGAGGTGATTCCCCAGTTGGAGAAGAAGCTGTCCGAGGCAGCAGGGAGGGAGGTAGTCCTGTGGTTCATGGAAGAAAAAACTGATGACATTACAAAACAGGTAGAATCCAACTCTACAACACCACAGTTTCATAATGGAATGTAGATATATATACTAATCTACTGTCAACATATACACGAGAAATTCGAGCTCAAAGGAAATGGTTCATGTCATGGTGACCACGTACCTAAATTTTGATATCGTACTAGTTACCTCGACAACCAATTGTACGTTAGACAGATATATGATTATACGGTGAGCTATAAAAAATCTTAACAAAATATTGAGATGATATCGATAAAAATGGGTCCTTAACGTTCGATTGTTGTCGATATTTAGATCTTTCGCTTACGTGTTGTTGGAATATGTTATAGGTCTGCATGGTGCAACCCAAGGCAGAAATAGATCTTCAATTTGAGTCTACAACGCTGAGTACTCCATTGGGGTATTTTAGTGCAATAGCTTTGTGCGTTGCAACTTTTGGGACTATTGCTTTGATGAGTGGCTTCTTCCTAAAACCTGGTGCTACCTTTGATGACTATATAGCTAATGTTGTTCCCCTTTTTGGTGGCTTCATCTCTATCTTGGGAGTTTCAGAGGTATACTTTTCTCCACCATTCTCTCCATGTATTTTCGATTAGCTAGTTAGAATTTGGGAGGAGGAGGTTGAGAATTCTTATTTTAGAGTAGGGTTGTTCTAAGTTCAACATCTATGGTGGAGGTTCGACATTTTGGTCGAAGATCTGAATATTGTTCTTTTGACAAATGGTTTCCATTTCCCTTCCAAAGCTTTGTGCAAGATTGAACATATTTTGGAGATGCCCCAAATCTTATGTGAGATCCCATGTCGGTTGGAGAGAGGAACGAAACATTACTTATAAGGGTGTGGAAACCTCTCTCTAACCGACTTGTTTTATTAAAACTTTGAAGGGAAGCCTAGAAGGGAAAACTCAAAAAGGACAATATCCGCTAGCGGTGGGCTTGATTTATCTCACAACGGGCTTGTGATTTGCAGATAGCAACGAGAGTAACAGCAGCTCGTTATGGCGTGAAGCTAAGCCCTTCTTTTCTTGTGCCTTCCAATTGGACGGGCTGCTTGGGAGTGATGAATAACTATGAATCACTACTTCCAAACAAGAAAGCACTTTTCGATATTCCAGTAGCACGAACTGCCGCTGCATATTTAACGTCACTGGCGCTTGCAATCTCTGCTTTTGTGATTGATGGTGGCTTTAATGGCGGTGACAATGCATTGTAAGTTAAGCCTTCTCTAGTAGTGTAGCCTCTCTCTGTGATAGCGAGCTTTTTATTCTAACAACAAGCTGAGGCGCATATAAGGTTTTAACGTCTGAAAACTCAAACATTAGATTGTTGACTATCCTCGAAAACGAATTTGTGAGATCCCACATCGGTTGGGAGGAAAAGGAAACATTCTTTATAAGGGTTCGGAAACCTTTCTTTAGCAGACGCGTTTTAAAAACCTTAGAGTCAGACACCGGACAGTGAGCCAGCGAGGACGCTAGACTCAGTTTAGGCTATTACAAAATTAACTTAACAAATGATAGAAACAACAAAGAAACTACGTACTTGGATTGAGTTCGTTCTTTAACACTGGAAAATGTGTTAGAATTTAGCAAAATTTTTAAATGAATGCAAGTAATGGAATTATAATGGCAGTGGCTTGTTTATCTGTTGAAATCCTTACCTATCTCATCCTTCCCTAGTATTGAATTCTAGTGAATATGAATGTTCATCCATAGAACAAGTGATTGAAAAAACTTAATCCAGAAAACCTTTATCAGAGTATGAGATCTGTTCTATTCAGTTCTTGATGATTCAGTTTCCTTCATTTGCAGGTATATCAGACCCCAATTCTTTTTCAACAACCCTTTGCTTTCTTTTATCCAGTTTGTTATAGGACCTTACACAGATGACCTTGGCAATGTACTGCCCTACGCAGTGGAAGGTGTAGGGGTCCCTGTGGATCCCCTTGCTTTTGCTGGCCTTTTAGGTACTTCCCATCTTCCCCGCATGAACACATTGCAAACTCGTTAACAAGCCTCTTAGATTCCTCCATGTTCTTTCTACAGGGATGGTAGTGACATCTTTGAACTTGTTACCGTGTGGGAGGCTTGAAGGAGGCCGCATTGCGCAAGCCATGTTCGGGAGAAGCACCGCAGCCCTACTGTCGTTTGCCACGTCGCTCGTACTCGGTATTGGTGGATTGAGCGGGAGCGTCCTATGTTTGGCATGGGGTTTGTTTGCAACATTCTTTCGAGGTGGCGAAGAGATCCCTGCAACAGACGAGATCACAGCGCTAGGAGATGATCGGTATGCTTGGGGCGTCGTCCTCGGCCTCATTTGCTTACTCACCCTGTTCCCCAATGGTGGAGGTACATTCTCGAGTTCATTCTTTAGTGCTCCATTTTTTAGGGGTGACGTGTGAAGTTTACATACAATTCTCACTTGCTAATAGTCTAAGGTGAGAGAACACCAAACTGACTCTACGAAGGATAGAGGCCACGTTTTTGTACATAGAAATTCTAGTCATCAAATTACTCTTATTTTTTTAAAAAAGAAATAGTAAAAAAAAAAATTATGTTCGGGTTGTTGGATGATGAAGGTCTCATATCGACTAATTTAGGAAATGAACGTGTGTTTATAATTAAAGAATATTATCTTCATTGGCATGAGGCATTTTGAGGAACTTTGCGAAGCTATGAGAGCTTATGCGCAAAGTGGACAATATCATATTATTGTGGAGAGTCTGTGTACATCTATCATGGTATCAGAGTCATGCCCTAAACTTAGTCGTGCCAATAGATTGGTAAATCCGAAAAAAGAGTTGAGACTCGATTAAGAGAAGACGTACTTTGTTTGAGGGGAGGTGTTGGATGATGAAGGTCTCAGTCGACTAATTTAGAAAATGATTATGAGAGGGAGGTGTTGGATGATAAAAGTCCCACGTCAACTAATTTAGGGAATAATTATGAGTTTATAATAAAGGAATATTATCTCCATGGCATGAAGCCGTTTAGATAAGCCGAAATCATGAGAGCTTATATTTTAAAGTGGACAATATCATACCATTGTGTAAAGCCGTTAATTTTATATTTTATAATTTTTAGAAATAATTTAAATCTTTATATATTTCATAAAATAGTTTACTCTTATAATTATGAAATTGCATAAGGCTATAGTTTGGAATTCCTCTTATAAAAGGAATACGGAAGATTCCATTACGTTATACCGCGAAATAAAACAGAAATAACGCTAAAAGCGGTCCTAGTGGCACAGAATATATAAACCAACCAACTCAACGAACCGCCTCATTTCTTCCTCCCAAGAACGGATTTGAAATCGGCGATCTCCAGTCCTAATAACCAGATTTGTATTGGAAGAAATCCTGTCAAGAAAGGGCCAAATTCAGCCATGAAATTGCGGCTGAGATCCCTAGATTTCCAAGAGACCGTCGGAATTGAAGTCCCCGATCAATGTTCCTTCGAGCACCTGAAACTTACGCTCCTCCAAACACTCTCGTCTTCCGTTTCCGCCGATTCTCTTCATCTCTCTCTCAATCAAAAAGACGAGCTCCACGTATCATCGGAGGAGGATTCGCTCTGCTCCATTGGTATTACTTCCGGTGATCTTGTTTTCTTCACTTTTAATTCTTCGCAATTTCCCCCTCGGGGAGGGAGATCGATTCAATCTTCTCCAGGACCTCTTCCTGATGTTTATCCACAAGATTCGTCTTTGTCGCGACCGCAGGTTGAAGGAGAGCAAATTCAGGGTAGCGATTTTGACCTTAAAGAACCTAGGTTGGAGAATTTTGAACCTGTATTCATCGGACCCGAGTCCTTGGATGCGGAAGCAACTACCGGTGGCATGATCGAGGAAGAGGAGAAAATCTTGGAGTCAGATTCCGAAGAAATGAACGCCGAGGATGAACCGATCGGAGATGTGGAAAAGAAATGTTCAAAGCCGATTTTCTTGAGGAGAGTGATGGAGGAGGAGTTAGGCTATGGTGATTGTAATGCTCACAAGCTTTTATTAACTGCCGTTCACGCTGTACTCTTGGAATCTGGATTCGTTCTGGTTGATCCTATTTTAGGTTCTGAGATTAGCCGTATCCACATGCCGGAAGACTGGCCTTCGCGATCATTTTCGATCTCACTCCGGTACACTTTACCTCAACTTTTGGCCGAAGGAGGCAAAAACTCCATTAAAACCGAGGTAGTTTTATTGAAGTTTCAGAGTTTGGGGAACTTTCTTAATGTTTATGGATCTCTTAGCTGCAGTAAAGGATCAGATGTTTATAGTGTATCTTTGGATGAAAGAAAATTTACACCCAATCTTCTTTCGATTTGGATGGATCCAGTGTCCAGCCACATAATAGATGAACAAGAAGAGAATCCAGAGAGGCAAGTTCTTGAATTCTGGAAGATAGTGAAGGATGCTATTTCATTCCCACTCTTGATTGATCTCTGTGAAAAAACTGGCCTGTCTCCTCCTTCAAGCTTTATGCAACTTCCAGAGGATTTGAAGCTGAAGATCTTGGAGTCTCTTCCTATTGAGGACATTGCAAGTGTTCAATATGTGTGTACTGAATTGCGTCAATTGGTATCCGGTAATGAGCTATGGAAGGTGAAGTTCAATCAAAAGCTTGCTTTAGGGGAGGGTGCTGTTCTTCCAGGAAAGAAAACGACGGCATCGCGCAAACCCGAACATAGACTTCCACGACGAGTTGCTCGGATTCCAAGGCGAAACGCTCTCATGTCGCATTCTCGTTTGAGAGGACGATGAGTAGTGAAATCTGAATTCCATTTAGGCAGGATTTTGCTGCAGTTTTGGGTGTTTTAAGCGAAGGGAATGAATGAAAGTGTAAGAAATCTTGCCATGATGGAGATATATCAGGTTAGGCCATGGATCGTTGTATATCATGGACCCCTCAAATCTCTTTGTCTTTACATATAAGAAATGATTTTGAGATGCCCTCCCTAACCAAGGAGTTATGTTTAGGCCGTGAGAACATGGTGGGGTCCATGATAAGGAACATTAAATATCTATGGTTCCCTATCTCCAAAATCTTCCCACGTGGGACATTTATAAAATTTTCGAAAATATATTAAAAATTCCCGTAGGTGGAAATTCAAATTTTCGTACCTTATATTAATTGTCCGGTTAAAAAAAGATGTATCCCGTTTCACATTCTAATTCGGTCAATTCGTTATCACGTCAATTAATCACAACAAGCACTAACATAAAATATAAAAACAAAAAAGAAAAACAAATAAAGTTAATTTTAATTTTAGTAAAATCAATGAGTAATTTTTATGTATTTTCTACTAAGAAATTAGATATTCATTTTTTTTTTGTTTTGTTCTAACATTTTTTTAATGTTGTGAGCTAATTAGTTATAATTTAATTTTATATTAATAATTTGGATTATATTATTTGGACTTAATTTAAAATGGATGATTAATTATTCTAAAATTTTAAATTTAATTGGATGTTTTTCCATTTTAAAATTCTTAAAAGCGTAAAGAAACGAATTTAAAGGTTTTAAAATGAAAACTAATTTAATGAAGTAATAGTACAAAGTGCCAACTAGGGCCAGCTGTAAGGACCAGATCCAAGCCCGCGGCCCGGCCCACGAAATCGACCCATTGCCCGCCAATAACTCCAATTCAAATTTTGAAAAAGCGAAAAAGGCGAATCTCCCTAACCGTGGTTAAATCTCAACCAACCAGAGTAAACCAACTCAGGCTTAGCTGCCGTCCAATTGTCCCCACAACGGTAAAAAATGTAAACCACTCCCCTCTTCTTCCGTTCTATTCGGCTCTCACTATAAATACGCTTCTCCATTAATTTCCTTATCGTCTATCCGATCCAAAATAAGGGTTTCAAAGGGGAAGGCGTCTTCACAAACGTCTTTCTTCCTGTCACGAGATATTTTATTTCTCTCCAATTCCTTTTCAGATCTCTGTTTCTTCTTCTTCATTCCCCGTTCCTAAGCCAAAATGAGAGAGTGCATTTCAATCCACATCGGTCAGGCCGGTATCCAGGTCGGAAATGCCTGCTGGGAGCTTTACTGCCTCGAACACGGTATTCAGGTATCATACTCTCTGTTTTTGTCCTTCATTCTTTCGATCTGTATGAATCTGTCGACATTTCTGCATCTGGCTTTGATTTGGTCTGGTTTTTTTTTTTTTTTTTTTTTTTTTTTTTTTTTTTTTTTTTTTTTTTTTTTGGATTTACACGCGATTCGTTAAGTTTTCACTTCGTATCTTCTCGATCTGTAAGGAGGTGTATCCATCTCTGCAACTGGCGTTGTTTTAGCTTGAGTTTTGCTATTTACGTTTGATTTGTTAAGATCTGACTGTTTTCCTTCCGTTCACTCGATCTGTAATGAATTATCCGCATATCTACGCCTAGCGTTGTCTTGGCTGAGGTTTCGTTGTTCTGGAGTGTCTGTGAATGTTTTATGTCTTTCTACGAATTATTTGTTCAACTCCGATTTCACAAATCTTCGTTATCTGTGTTTTATATTCGTAAATCTGCTCGATCTCTGTTGTATTCTAGAGTTCACTCAATGTATTATTCGAGAAATGGAATGTCGATTGATCTATACGTCGAGATCTGGTAATGGAGCATGTATCTTATTGAGATTTTTTCTATATACTGTGTTTTCGTTGGTTCTTCCTTTATCCGTGTTACGTGCGAAGTTTCTGATAGACTGACTTCAGATCTTTGAATTTTATAATGTTTAGACTAATTTGGTGTTTATATTTTACTTTTTTCAAATCCATGTTTGAAACATAAGTCGCACTATCTTTTGTATTTTTCAGTGTTTGGACAATCGATATATTTATCTTTGTTATATTAAATAATCTTGGCTTAAGAAACTCCTTCGTATGTGTACATCAATTATACTGACGTTAACGTATATGTGCTGTACAGCCCGATGGCCAAATGCCAGGAGATACTACCACTGGTGGAGGCGATGATGCTTTCAACACCTTTTTCAGTGAAACTGGTGCGGGAAAGCATGTTCCTCGTGCGGTTTTTGTCGATCTTGAGCCTACGGTTATTGATGAGGTGAGGACTGGAACTTACCGTCAGCTCTTCCACCCTGAACAACTTATCAGTGGAAAGGAAGATGCCGCCAATAACTTTGCCCGTGGTCACTACACCGGTAATTACTTGATCTTGATTTTACTTGATATTAAATTAAATATTATTTAATATCTTTTCATTCACTTAAGTGTTCTCTTTATCTTGTTTCAGTTGGGAAGGAAATTGTTGATCTCTGCTTGGACCGAATCCGCAAGCTAGCTGATAACTGCACTGGTCTTCAAGGATTCCTTGTGTTCAACGCTGTTGGTGGTGGAACTGGATCTGGTCTTGGCTCCCTACTTTTGGAGCGTTTGTCGGTTGACTATGGAAAGAAATCCAAGCTTGGGTTCACTGTTTACCCCTCTCCACAAGTCTCAACTTCTGTTGTTGAGCCATACAACAGTGTCCTCTCAACGCATTCCCTCTTGGAACATACCGATGTCGCTGTGCTCCTTGACAATGAAGCCATTTACGACATCTGCAGGCGCTCCCTTGACATCGAGCGACCCAACTACTCTAACCTCAACCGCCTCGTGTCTCAGGTAGCCATTTAACATTTCTTAGATTTGATCTTATTTCTTACCATTATTTATAACCAAGAACTTTTGTGGACTTAGATGTTCTGTTTAATTTCAGGTTATTTCATCTTTAACTGCAAGTTTGAGGTTTGATGGTGCCCTGAATGTGGATGTGAACGAATTCCAGACCAACTTGGTTCCATACCCCAGAATCCACTTCATGCTTTCCTCGTATGCACCAGTGATCTCAGCCGAGAAGGCTTACCATGAGCAGCTCTCAGTGGCTGAGATCACCAACAGTGCATTCGAGCCATCGTCTATGATGGTTAAGTGTGACCCCCGACATGGTAAGTACATGGCTTGCTGTCTGATGTACCGTGGTGATGTTGTGCCAAAGGACGTGAATGCTGCTGTTGCTACTATCAAGACCAAGCGTACCATCCAGTTTGTTGACTGGTGCCCCACTGGGTTCAAGTGTGGTATCAACTACCAGCCACCAACTGTTGTCCCTGGAGGCGATCTTGCCCGGGTGCAGAGGGCTGTCTGCAAGATCTCTAACTCAACCAGTGTTGCTGAGGTTTTCTCCCGAATTGACCACAAGTTTGATCTCATGTATGCCAAGCGTGCCTTCGTGCACTGGTATGTCGGTGAGGGTATGGAGGAAGGAGAGTTCTCGGAAGCCCGAGAGGATCTTGCTGCCCTTGAGAAGGATTATGAAGAAGTCGGTGCTGAGTCGGCTGAGGGTGAGGACGATGAAGGAGAAGACTATTGAACATGATGATGGTATATGCCAGATCTCTCCTCATTGTTAGGAGTGGGTTATGTCTGTCCTCCTTCGTATGTTTGTGCTGTCTTTGTCTGTTATGTTTTTTTTTCTTATTATGAAATGTTATCCTGTGATAATTGTTTCCAAGGCTTTTGTGAACAAACATCTATTATGCTCATTTTAATCAATTTGCCATTTCATTAATGGCTTGTTATTTTGCTCTAATTTTTTTAATCTAAAGATTTTATACAAATTCTTAAGATTGTTGCCAAATTAATTCCAAATCAAACCCCAAATTTGTGTTCATTAATGGCTTGAACAAACTGATTTTAATAAATGTAATATGCTAATTATCGTATGACAAAATTGAAAGTTCGACCTTCCAGTGGGTGGATGGGAATGTAATTATCAAACGGTCGGTCGATAATCTCTATCTCTACCCCACACAACTACATAATTAAATATAATATTTACAAAAAAAACTATCTGAAGGGTATTTCTTAAAAGAATTTGACAATAGCGAGAAGAAAAGGGTGCAACTAATGACCTAAGTTTCTTTATATAGTTGGATGATAATTAGAATTTAGTTTATGATTTTTAAAGTAGTTTGCTAAAAATCTAAAAATTTATTTGATAAAATTTTCCAAAATATAGATACTAAATTTTAAGTTAACCAATAAAAAAAGAATTCCTAAAAAGAACCACAAGAATACCTAAAAGTATAGAATGTAACTTTCAAAAAGAAAATGATGTTGGAGTGTAACTGTGGATTCCCAAAAAAGAAAGACCCACTCACACCTAAAAGGTTGCCTAAACGTAGTGTCCAAGTGTTCGATCTACACGAACTTAAAATTTTAAAATTCAATTAGAACATCAAAAGCTCAAACCTCCCTCCCAGCTTTCACAAACCTCAAACGAAAGCTAAAAGTAAAAAGTAAAAAAAAGTCACCTAATGCCTTGAGAAATAAAATTATCCATAAACTGGGTAAATTCTACTAAAAAGTAAAAAAAGTCACCTAATGCCTTGAGAAATAAAATTACCCATAAACTGGATGGGTAAATTCTACTAAAATGTAAAAAAAGTCGCCTAATGCCTTGAGAAATAAAATTACCTATAAACTTGATGGGTAAGATCTAGCCAAAAAAAAAAAAAACCAACTTGAGTATAGCTCCTCATAAAAGTCGTCAGATATTCAAATTCTCACCCGCATAGAGTAAACAAAAAGATCCTAACCAAAAAAAGTGTAAACAAGAAAATTCTAGCTAAAAATCATTTTCATATATACATAATATTGCAAGGACAGGAATCAATATTGCGAAAGGGAAAAGTAAGTAGCAGAAAACCAACCAATTAGGATTATATGGGTACCAGTCAATTTACACGAGGAGCTATTTGTGAAATCCTTTCGTCTTCTAAAGGAGCATATGGATAAACATACGGTGGAGGAGAGGGTGGCGTTTGGGTGCCGTCGTGAACAAAAGATGATCCAAAAAACTGCATTGGAACAAAATATTTCAGAATGGTTAGTTTTCAGCTAGG